CCGAACTGACTACAGCAAAGTGAAAAAAAAAATCTCCAAACAAAATATCCCCTGGCTGGACGTTCAACCTATAAGTTTATGGCTACACGTTATTTGCACGAGTCATTCCAAGCATTACAAAATCCCCACTAATTTCACGCCCTGATTTGACGAGTCAAAATGCATTCACTAAAGCCATGTTCAAACCCATCTTCCGCAGCTACGGCTTCGTCCACTGAGGCCTGTATTCACGCAATATATCAGAAACTGGCAAAGACATATAGCTCCAGGCTCAGGATTTGGACAATGCCTAATACCACTTCAGTTGTCGTTAGACACACCAATAAAAGTAGGGATAGTACCTATGGCTCCGCCCAAAGATTTTGGCTACGGCCGGTAATTACACATGTGGCTACGGAAGCCTACAGGTATGACGGCTTAAGCAAGTTCCCATTGACTTGCATGAAATACTCTGCCGGCCTCAGCCAAAACCGTGTACTGAGTATACTTTCTAAAACTGTAATAAGCTGTTTCGACACCAACTGAAACTACTACAAATTAATGCACAAAAAAGCATCTTAAGCGATTTGGCATCATCTTGGTATCGTGACGTCGCTGGATTTAGTACTTGTGAATGCTGAGAAACGAGGCTAGCAGAGCAGCCACGAGAGCCAGGGTGACGGACACAGATCTAGAGTGGCTGGGTCCTGGACAGATGGGAAAAAAATCTGGATCATAAAAGTGCGTGATCTCCGGCCGTGCGGCAAAGCTTCATGGGCATAGAGACCCGTCCCCCGCCCCCAAAGCTGAAGGATCAAGAAGTCGACATTTTAACCTTACTTTCACGTTAAATCTACAACGAAAACCGTCCAAAACACTTTTTAAAGTCACTTAAAAAGCACACTGACTGATAACATGTAACGAAGTTAGATCACAGCTCCAAGAGTCGATTGAGTTCTCTGGACCATGTTTTGCGAATTTTGTGGGACCGATGAATGACTGAAGAACCCTTACGAAAATCCCCCTTCAAACAAAAGGTTTCTAAAATGCGACTGCATATTGCGTATGCAGCTACAGGTACTAAAAATGAAACGTATGCTAGACAACGTAGTCTTAACATCAGTGTAATCCTCGTGCCGCTGGACGGGGAATTGTAAATTTTCTGCTTAAGAGGATGGATTGAACACGTGAAAATTGGAACTCACCGCCTGAAGTCGGAGTAACCACTAAAAGAAAAACAAAAAATCGAATATGTCGGTATCGTTTATTTCACAGCAAAATTCTTGTCAGGACTATAATAGGTTCTCAAAGGGCCAATTTCAAGGAATGTTCTTACAATGGGACATTATACTTTCCACTGGTATAGTGACCGAGAGTGTTCTCCGCTTTAGTTTGAGAGTTATAGTTGTCAGTAACGCAGCTGGAGGACACTTGCTCCTGCCCTCGTACCCCTCAGCTGGGGGGGGGGGCATAGGCACCTGTCCCACTTCCCAAAACGATGGTAACAAAACCGAAGAATCAAGAAGCCGAAATCTTAACTTCACTTTCACGTTAAATCCCTAATGAAAACCGTCCAAAATACTTTTAAAAGCATTTCAAAAGCAACATGATTGATAATATGGAACGAGGTTAGAACAAAGCTCCGACTGTCGGTTGAGCTCCAGTGGCTTCCCTTGACCATGACTCGCAAAGTTTGTCGGGCCAGTTAATAACTGGAAAACAAAAACTACTGAAATCCCCCTTCAAACAAAAGGTGCCTGTATGCGACTTTATATTGCGTCTGCAACTACATGCACTAAGAACAAAACGTAAGCTAGACAGTAGAGTCTAACTAATCCTCGTGCAGCTCGAGGAGCAATTGGAATTTTCTGCTCAAAAAGGATGGATTAAACTTGAGTGAAATTTTGAACTTACCGCCTGACGTCGGGGTAACCGCTGGAAGAAAAACAAAAAGTCAAATATGTCAGTATCACTAATTTCGCAGCAAAATTCTTGTTCAGCCGATACGTTCTCAGCCGGCCTATTTCCGGGAATGTTCTTGAGACTTTATAAGTTCCACTGGCATGGTAACAGAGAGTGTTCTAGGCTTTAGTTTGATAGATTACAGTTGTCAGCAGCTGGAGGACTTTTGCCCTGCCTTTGGACCCTCCTCCGGGGGGGGGG